ACTAGATGTGGGTGGATGTGGAGGTGTAAAGTGGTTTAGGTGGGATGTGAAGTGACTGGATGTGGGTGGATGTGGAGGTGAGAAAGTGGTTTAGGTGGGATGTGAAGTGACTGGATGTGGGTGGATGTGGAGGTGGAAAGTGGTTTAGGTGGGATGTGAAGTGACTGTGGGGATGTGGAGGTGGAAAGTGGTTTAGGTGGGATGTGAAGTGACTGGATGAGGGTGGATGTGGAGGTGAGAAAGTGGTTTAGGTGGGATGTGAAGTGACTGGATGAGGGTGGATGTGGAGGTGGAAAGTGGTTTAGGTGGGATGTGAAGTGACTGGATGTGGGTGGATGTGGAGGTGGAAAGTGGTTTAGGTGGGATGTGAAGTGACTGGATGTGGGTGGATGTGGAGGTGAGAAAGTGGTTTAGGTGGGATGTGAAGTGACTGGATGTGGGTGGATGTGGAGGTGAGAAAGGGGTTTAGGTGGATGTGAAGTGACTGGATGTGGAATGATGTGGAGGTGAGAAAGTGGTTTAGGTGGGATGTGAAGTGACTGGATGTGGGTGGATGTGGAGGTGGAAAGTGGTTTAGGTGGGATGTGAAGTGACTGGGTGGGTGGATGTGTGGAGTGGAAAGTGGTTTAGGTGGGATGTGAAGTGACTGGATGTTGGTGGATGTGGAGGTGGAAAGTGGTTTAGGTGGGATGTGAAGTGACTGGATGTGGGTGGATGAGGAGGTGAGAAAGTGGTTTAGGTGGGATGTGAAGTGACTGGATGTGGAGTTGGTGATGTGGAGGTGGAAATGGTTTATGTGGATATGAAGTGACTGGATGTGGGTGGATGTGGAGGTGTGGAGTGACTTGATGTGAAGGTGAGAAATGTTTTATGTGGAGTGTGAAGTGACTGGATGTGGAGTTGCGAAGTGACTTGATGTGGAGGTGAGAAATGGTTTATGTGGAATATGAAGGGACTGGATGTGGAGGTGTGAGGTGACTTGATGTGGAGGTGAGATGTTTTATGTGGGATATGAAGGGACTGGATGTGGAGGTGAGATGTTTTATGTGGGATATGAAGTGACTGGATGGATGGATGTGGAGGTGTGAAGTGACTTGATGTGAAGGTGGAAATTGTTTGATGTGGGATGTGAAGTGACTGGATGTGGAGGTGCGAAGTGATTTGATGTGGAGGTGGAAAGTGGTTTAGGTGGGATATGAATGAATGGATGTGGAGTTGAAGATCTTTTATGTGGAGTATGAAATGACTGGATGTGGAGGTGTGAAGTGACTTGATGTGAAGGTGAGAAATGTTTTTTTGGGATGTGAAGTGACTGGATGTTGGTGGATGTGGAGGTGTGAAGTGACTTGATGTGGAGGTGAGAAATGTTTTATGTGGGAAGTGAAATGATTGGATGTGAAGGTGGAAGTGACTTGATGTGGAGGTAAAAACGGTTGGATGTGAAGGTGGTGCCGATGTGATACGAGATTTAAAATGATTAGATGTGGAACTGCAACTGTTTTATGTGGAAGATAAAAATGACAGTCTGTGGACTTGAAAACAACTGTCCTGTGGAAAATGAAAATGAGTGATTGATGGTAATGAAAGTGAATACTGGCTGATGCTGATGAAAGTGAAATCCATACTACAGGAGGGATTAAGAATGCCTACTTGAGGAGGAATTCAGTTTGACTCGAAACGTAGAGGTTTCAATATTCTTTCTATTCTGATTTGTTTTTCTCTCTTTCTTTTCTTTTCTTTTTTAACATTTTTTGTGATTTGCTTTATTTTCTATTCTCGTTTTTGACCATTTATCTCGACAATTATTATTTCTTAGTCTTTCAAAATCAAACTCAAAATACGTTATTCTTTGTTCTTAGAATGATGATGGTGCTTATTTTTTACACATATAGTTCTATCTATCTGTCTGTCTTCGATCTATCTATCTTTCTATCTCTCCATCTATCTATTTATCCTTCATCCATCTCTCGATCTAGCTATCTTTCATCCATCAATTTATCTATCTCTATCTATCTATATATCTACCTATCTATCTCTTCTTTCCCTCTTCTCTCCTCCTTCTCTCTCTCTCCTCCTTCTCTTCCCCTCCCTCCCCTACCTCCCTCTCCCCTCCCTCTCCCTCTCTATCTATCATCTATCTATCTACATCCTTTCTTCCCCCACCAGGAGACACGGCTCTCGACTGGGCCGCCTTCTTGGGGAACGTCTTCATGGTCCAAGATCTCCTGAAGGCAGGAGCCGCGCCCAATGTCACTGATCTGGCGGGTAAGCTGTCTTTGGTGGTGGTTGTGGTTGTGATGGAGGTGGTGATGGCTGTGGTGTTGGTGGAGGTGGTGGTGGCTGTGGTGTTGTTGGTGGTGCAGGTGGTTGTTAGTGGTGGTTGTGGTGGTGGTGGAGGTTGTGGTGTTGTTGGTGGTTGTGGTGGAGGTGGTGGCTGCAGTGTTGTTGGTGGAGGTGGTTGTGGTGTTGGTGGTGGAGGTGGTTGTGGTTGTGGTTGTTGGTGGTTGTGGTGTTGTTGGTGGTTGCAGTGGTGGTGGTGGTGGTTGTGTTGTTGGTGGTGGAGGTGGTGTTGGTGGTTGTGATGGAGGTGGTGTTGGTGGTTGTGGTGGTGGTGGTGGTGGTTGTGGTGTTGTTAGTGGTGGTTGTGATGATGCTGGTGGTTGTGGTTGTGATGGAGGTGGTGTTGGTGGTTGTGATGGAGGTGGTGGTGGTGGTGGAGGTTGTGGTGTTGGTGGTTGTGGTTGTGGTGTTGGTGGTGGTTGTGTTGGTGGTGGAGGTGGTGGTTGTGGTGTTGGTGGTGGAGGTGGTGGAGTGGTGGTTGTGGTGTTGTTGGTGGAGGTGGTGGTTGTGGTGTTGTTGGTGGTTGTGATGGAGGTGGTGTTGGTTATGGTGTTGTTATTGGTTGTGGTGGTGGTGTTGTTGTTGGTTGTGATGGAGATGGTGTTGGTGGTTGTGGTGTTGTTGGTGGTGGTTGTGGTTGTGTTGTTGGTGGTTGTGATGGAGGTTGTGGTGTTGGTGGAGGTTTTGGTTGTGGTGTTGGTGGTTGTGGGTTGTGGTTGTGGTGTTGTTGTGGTGGTGGTTTTGATAAAGGTTGTGGTGGTGGTGGTTGTGGTTGTGGTGTTTGTGATGGTGGTGTTGGTTGTGATGGAGGTGGTGGTTGTGGTGTTGTTGGTGGTTGTGATGGAGGTTGTGGTGTTGGTGGTGGTTGTTATGGAGGTGGTGATGGCTGTGCTGTTGTTGGTGGTTGTGGTGTTGTTGTGGTTATTGTGTTGGTGGTTGTGATGGAGGGGGTGGTGGAGGTTGTGGTGTTGGAGGTTTTGGTTGTGGTTTTGGTGGTTGTGATAAAGGTTGTGGTTGTGGTGTTGTGGTGGTGGTTTTGATAAAGGTTGTGGTGGTGGTGGTTGTGGTGTTGTGGTTGTGGTGTTTGTGATGGTGGTGTTGGTTGTGATGGAGGTGGTGGTTGTGGTGTTATTGGTGGTTGTGATGGAGGTTGTGGTGTTGGTGGTGGTTGTAATGGAGGTGGTGATGGCTGTGCTGTTGTTGGTGGTTGTGGTGTTGTGGTTATTGTGTTGGTGGTTGTGATGAAGGTGAGGGAGGCGGTTTTCGTTGCCGTTTTTGTTGTTAATGATGTTGTGAATGTTGTTTTGTTGTGAAAGTTGCATTGTTGTGAATATTTCGTAGTGAATTTTGTTGTGAATGTTGCTGTTGTAGATGTTTTTGTTGATGTAGATGTTATCATGTTTTTGTTTTTGGTGTTTTTGTTGCTATTATCATTATCATCATTGTCCTTATGAAATTGTGAACCTTCTCCATGTAATAGAATTGACATTTTTTTTCTCTGATTTTCGTTATAGAAAGTACTATGATATGTTTCTTGTTTCCAAATTGAGTAAGTTATTATCACTAAATCTTCT